GATTCTGATATGTTGTGTCCTCATTCTCGTTGGTTTCAAAGAACATCTTTATTTCTGCCTTCATTTCATTGTTTATCCAGTCAACATTCAAGAGCCAGTTGTTCAGTTTCCATGAAGCTGTGTGGTTCTGAGTTAGTTTCTCATTTCTGAGTTCTAACTTGATTGCAACGTTGTCTGAGAGACTGTTTGTTATGATTTCTGTTCTTTTGCGTTTGCTGAGGAGTGATTTACTTCCAATTATGTGGTCAATTTTAGAGTAGGTGTGATGTGGTGCTGAGAAGAATGTATATTCTGTGGATTTGGGGTGGAGAGTTATGTAAATATCTATTAGGTTTGCTTGGTCCAGGTCTGAGTTCAAGTCCTGGATATCCTTGTTAATTTTCTGTCTGGTTGATCTGTCTAATATTGACAATTGGGTTTTAAAGTCTCCCAGTGTTATTGTGTGGGAGTCTAAGTCTCTTTGTAAGTCATTGAGAACTTGCTTTATGTATCTGGGTGCTCCTGTATTGGGTGTGTATATATTTAGGACTGTTAGCTCTTCTTGTTGCATTGATCCTTTTACCATTACATAATGTCCTTCTTTGTCCCTTTTGATCATGTTGGTTTAAAGTCTATTTTAACAGAGACAAGAATTGCAACTCTTGCTATTTTTCGCTCTCCATTTGCTTTGTAAATCTTCCTCCATCCCTTTATGTTGAGCCTTTGTATATCCTTGCATGTGAGATGGGTTTCCTGGATACAGCACACAGATGGGTTTTGTCTTTTTATCCAATTTGCCAGTCTGTGTCTTTTGATTGGGGCATTTAGCCCATTTACATTTAAGGTTAATATTGTTATGTGTGAATCTGATCCTGCCATTTTGATGCTAGCTGGCTGTTTTGCCTGTTAGTTGATGCAGTTTCTTCATTGTGTTGATGCTCTTTACCATTTGATATGATTTTGGAGTGACTGGTACTTGTTTTCCTTTCTATGTTTAGTGCCTCTTTCAGGAGCTCTTGTAAAGCAGGCCTGGTGGTGATGAAATCTCTGAGTACATGCTTGTTCTTAGAGGATTTTATTTTTTCTTCACTTATGAAGCATAGTTTGGTTGGATATGAAATTCTGGGTTCAAAGTTCTTTTTTTTTAAGATGTTGAATATCGGCCCCCACTCTTTTCTGACTTGTAGGGTTTCTGCTGAGATATCTTCTGTGAGTCTGATGGGCTTCCCTTTGTGGGTAACTGACCTTTCTCTCTGGCTGCCCTTAGCATTTTCCCCTTCATTTCAACCCTGGTGAATCTGACGATTATGTGTCTTGGGGTTGCTCTTCTTGAGGAGTATCTTTGTGGTGGTCTCTGTATTTCCTGGACTTGAATATTGGCCTGCCTTGCTAGGTTGGGAAAGTTTTCCTGGATAATATCCTGAAGAGTATTTTCCAGCTTGGATTCATTCTCTCCGTCACATTCAGGTACACCTATCAAACATAGATTAGGTCTTTTCACATAGTGCCATATTTCTTGAAGACTTTGTTCATTCCTTTTTACCCTTTTTTCTCTAACCTTGCCTTCTCATTTTATTTCATTAAGTTGATCTTCGACCTCTGAAATCCTTTCTTCCGCTTGGTCAATTTGGTTGTTGAAACTTGTGTATGCTTTGCGAAGCTCTCTTGTTGTGTTTTTCAGCTCCATCAATTCACTTAGATTCCTCTCTAAGTTGTTGATTCTAGTTAGCATTTCGTTAAATCTTTTTTCAAGGTTCTTAGTTTCTTTGCATTGGGTTAGAACATGTTCTTTTAGCTCATAGAAATATTACCCACCTTCTGAAGCCTGATTCTGTCAATTCATCACACTCATTCTCCATCCAGCCTTGTTTGCTTCCTGGTGAGAAGTTGTGATCCCTTGTAGGAGGAGAGGCGTTCTGGTTTTGGGTGTTTTCAACCGTTTGGCACTGGTTTCTTCTCATCTTTGTAGATTTATCCACCTGTCGTCTTTGTAGTTGTTGACTTTTAGATTGGGTCTCTGAGTGGATGTCCAGTTTGTTGATGATGAAGTTATTTCTTTCTGTTTCTTAGTTTTCCTTCTAACAGTGAGGCCCCTCTGCTGTAGGACTGCTGAGGTCCACTCCAGGCTCTGCTTGCCTAGGGATCACCTGCAGCAGCTGCAGAACAGTAAGGGTTGCTGCCAGTTTCTTCTTTGGCTATGTTTGTCCCAGTAGGATACCCGCCAGATGTCAGTCTGAGCTCTACTTTATGAGGTGACTCTTTGGATATATGGGGGTCAGGGAGCTGCTTGAGGAGACAGTGTGTCCTTTATAGGAGCTCAAGTGCTGAGCTGTGAGCTCTGTTGTTCATTCAGAGCTGCTGAGCTGGTATGTTTAAGTTTGCTGCAGCAGAACTCATAAACCACCTTTTTTTCTCCCAGGTGCTCTGTCCCAGGGAGTTAGGGCTTTAATTATGAGTTTCTGTTGTGCTGCTGCCTTTTTTCAGGGCTGCACTGTGCCCAGTGAGGAGGCAACCTAGTCACTGTCTGCCTGTAGAGGCTTTGCTGAGCTGCTGTGTGCTCCGCCCAACTGCCATGTGAACTTCCCTGCAGTCCTGTTCATACGGGTATAGTTAGAACTGACTTGGCAATGGTGGCCCACCTCTGTAATGGCAGACTCTCTCTGTAATGGTGGGCTGCCTCAGCAATGGCGGGCTGCCTCAGCAATGGCAGACTACCTCCGTAGTGGTGGACTTCCTCAGTAAGGGCACACGCCCCTCCCCCACAGAGCTGGACTGTCCCAGGTTCAGCTGTGCTTGCTGTGAAACTCTCTATCCAGAGCGTTTCAGATTGCTGTTTTTTTGTGGGGGTGGGACCAGCCGAGCCTGATCATCTGGCTACCTACCTCAGAGCCCTTTTTTTTTTTTTTTTTTAGTTGAACAGTCAACTCTGTCTCCCAGGTGTTCCAGTCGTCTGTTGAAAAGGCACAGGGATATGTGTGATTTCCCGTGCAGTGACCCCCTGCGTCTGTGCTGGCTGAAACAGCCGCGCTGAGATTGATGGCACTTTTTTGCCCGGGAATCTCCTGGTCTGGCTCCCTGTTTCAGTCCCTTTTTTTAATCAGTTGAATGGGAAACTCTGTCTGCCAGGAGTTCCAATCGCCAGCTAAAATGGCACCCGGACTAGTGTATTTTGTATGGAGAACCACTGCGCTGGGGCGCTGGCCGAAACATCTGGGCTGGCTGAAACAGTGGCACCGGCCAAAACAGCTGTGCTCATGACCTGTGGGGCTCCTCTGCCTGGCAATCTCCTGGTCTGTGGGCAATAAAAATCTGTCTGGAAATGCAGCATCCACTCACCCTCCGCACTTTGGCTGGGAGCTGCAATCCTGAGCTGTTCCTAATTGGCCATCTTGGATCCGTCCCCTGGAATGCTTATTAATAGCTTCTTTCACTCTCAGAAGTATCCTGTTGGAAAAGAAAATACATCATCATTTTATGACATGGTAAAGTATGCAGGTGCTGGAGTCCATAGCTGAAGTGTGAATCTTGGATTTTCCTATTACCAGCTGTGTAAACTGGTACAATTAGCTTTCTTTTAAAAATTGATATATAATAGTTGTACATATTTTAGGGGTGTATGTGATATTTGGATACCTGCATACAATGTGTAATGATCAAATCAAGGTAATTGGGACGTTCATCACTTCAACCTTTTTTTTGTGTGTGTGTTGGGAACATTACAGATCACTTCAGCTCCAAATAAACAATTAGAAATGACAAAGGGGATGTCACCACTGACCCTACAGAAATACAAATGACCATCAGAAACTACTACAAACACCTCTATGCACACAAACTAGAAAACCTAGAAGAGATGGGTAAGTTCCCTGGACACATACACTCTCCCAAGACTGAACCAGGAAGAAATTAAATCCCTGAACAGACCAATAATGAACTCCAAAACTGAATCAGTAATAAATAGCCTATCAACCAAAAAATGCTCAGGACCAGATGGATTCACAGCCGAATTCTACCAGATGTAGAAAGAAGAGCTTGTACCATTCCTATTGAAACTATTCCAAAAATTTGTGGAGAGACTGCTCCCCAATTCATTCTGGCAGAGACACAACAATAAAAAAAGAAAACTTCAGGACAATATCCTTGATGAACATTGATGCAAAAAGACTCAACAAAATACTTGCAAACTGAATCCAGCAGCATATCCAAGTGCTAATCCACCATGATCAAGTGGGCTTCATCCCTGGGATGTAAGGTTAGTTCAGCATATGCAAGCCAATAAATGTCATTTATCACATAAACAGAACTAAAGACAAATACCACATGATCATCTCAATATATGCAGAACGGCCTTTCAATAAAATTCAGCCCTCCATGTGAAAAATTATCAATAAACTAGGTATTGAAGGAACATACCTCAAAATAATAAGAGCCATATATAACACACCCACAGCCAAGTTCACCCTGAATGGGGAAAAGCTGGAAGCATTCTCCCTGAAAACCAGCACAAGACAAGGTTGCCCTCTGTCACTGCCCCTATTCAACATAGTCTTGGAAGTTCTGACCAGAGCAGCCAGGGAAGAGAAAAGATAAACGGCATCCAAATAGGAAGAGAGGAAGTCAAACTTCCCTCTTGGCAGATGACATGATTCTATATTGAAAAAACCCCATAGTCTCAGCCTGAAAGGTCTTTGAGCTGATAAACAACTTCAGCAAAGTTTTAGTATACAATATCAGCATACAAAAATCATTAGCATTCCTAGACACCAACAACAGCCAAGCCAAGAACCAAACCAGGAATGCAGTCCCATTCACAGTTGCCACAAAAGAAATAAAATACCTAGGGATACAGCTAACCAGGTAGGTGAAAGATCTATGCAATGAGAATTACAAAACACTGCTCAAAGAAATCAGATGACACACACAAAAAAATGGAATAACATCCCATGTTTATGGATAGGAAGAATCAATATCATCTGAATGATCATATTACCCAAAGCAATTTATAGATTTAAGGCTATTCATATCAAACTACCAGTGACATTCTTTACAGAACTAGAAAAAACTATTTAAAAATTCATATAGAACCAAAAAGCCTTAATAGCCAAGGCAGTCCAAAGTAAAAGAACACAGCTGGATGTATCACACTATCCTGCTTTATATTACAGGGCTAGTAACCCAAACAGCATGGTGCTAGTACAAAAATAGACACATAGACCAATGTAACAGAATAGAGAACCCAAAAATAAGGTCAAACGCCTGCAACCATTGATCTTTGATGAAGCTGACAAAATCAAGCAATGGGGAAAGCACTCCCTATTCAGTAAATGCTGCTGGGATAATTGGCTAGCCATATGCGGAAGATGGAAACTGGACCCCTTCTTTGCACCATATACAAAAATAAACTCAAGATGGATTAACGACTTAAATGTAAAACCCAAAACTATAAAAACCCTGGAAGACAACCTAGGTAATGCCACTCTGGACATAGGAATGGACGAAGATTTGATGGCAAAGATGGCAAAAGCAATTACAACAAAAGCAGGAATGGACAAATAGGATCTAATTAAACTAAAGAGCTTCTACACAGCAAAAGAAACTATCAACACAGTAAATAGACAACCTACAGAACGGGAGAAAAGTTTTACAAAGTAGCATCTGACAGAGGTGTACTATCCGGCATCTGTAAGGATCTTAACTCTATAAGAAAAAAACTCCATTAAAAAGTGGGCAAAGGACATGAACAGACAGTTTTCAAAAGAAGACATACATGCAGCCAACAAGCATATGAAAGAAAGCTCAGTATCACTTATTAGAGAAATGCAAATCACAACCACAATGAGATACCATTTCACACCAGTCAGAATGGTGATTATTGAAAAGGAAAAAAATAACATGCTGGCAAGGTTGCAGAGAAAAGGGAATGTTTATATACTCTTGGAGTGTAAATTAGTTCAACCATTGTGGAAATCAGTGTGGTGATTCCTCAAAGAGCTAAAAACAGAACTACCATTTGACCCAGCAATCTTATTACTGGGTATATACCCAAAGGAATATACATTATTCTATTTTAAAGACACATGCGCGCATATGTTCATTGCAGCACTATTCACAATAGCAAAGACATGGGATCAACCTAAATGTCCATCAATGATGGACTGAATAGAGAAAATGTGGTACATATATATCATGGAATACTATGCAGCCATAAAAAAGAATGAGCCCATGTCTTTTGTGGGAGTATGGATGGAGCTGGAGGCCATTATCCTTAGTAAACTAATGCAGGAACAGAAAACCAAATACCACATGTTCTTGCCTATAACTAAATGATGAGAACTCATGGACACAAAGGGGAACAATAGACCCTGGGGTCCTACTTGATGGTGGAGGGTGGGAGGAGGGGGAGAAACAGAAAAATAACTATTGCGTTCTATACTTAGTACCTGGGTTGCAAAATAATCTCTATGACAAGCCCCTGTGATACAAGTTTAACTATACAAACCACATATACCCTTGAACCTAAAAGTTAAAAATATCCCCCCAAAACAAATCTAGTTATTTTGAAATATATAATAAACTGTTGTTAACTATAATTTCCCTACTGTGCTATTGAATACTGGAACTTATTCTAACTGTATTTTGTACCCCTTAACCACTTTCTCTCATTCCCTCTCCCCACTTCCCTTTCCAGCCTCTGGTATCTATCATCCTCCCTGAGAGTCACTTTTTAAACGTTCACATGTGAGTGAGAACATGTGGCATTGGTCTTTTGTGTCTGGCTTATTTCACTTAACATAATGCCTTCCAGTTCCATTCATGTTGCTGCAAATGACAGGATTCATTCTTTTTTTGAGACAGGGTTTAACTTTGTCGCCCAGGCTGGAGTGCAGTGGTGTGATCTGGGCTCACTGCAGCCTCAACCTCCCAGGGTCAAGTAATCAATCCTCCCATCTCAGCCTCTCAAGTAGCTGGTTAATTTTTGTTTGTTTGTTTGTTTGTTTTTGTGGAGACAGAGTTTTGTCATGTTGTCCAGACTGGTCTCGAACTCCTTAGTTCAAGTGATCCACCAGACTTGGCCTCCCAAAGTGCTGAGATTACAGGCATGTACCACCATACCTGGCTGATTTCATTCCTTTTTTAAGGGTGAACACTTCTCTATTGTGTATATGTACCACATTTCTTTATCCATTCATTCATCAATGGGCATTTAGGTTGATTTCATATCTCGACTTTGCGGATAGTGCTGTCATAAATATGGGAGTGCACATACCTCTTCAGTGTACTGATTTCCTGTTTTAGGGATATATACCCAGCAATGAGATTTCTGGATCATGTGGTAGTTCCGTTTTTCAGATTTTTGAGAAATCTTAATACAGTTCTCCGTAATGGCTGTCCTAATTTACATTTCTATCAACAGCATATGCAGGTTCCCCTTTGTCTGCATCCTTGCTAGCATTTGCTTTTTTTTTTTTTTTTTTTGTCTTTTTGGTAATAGCCATTCTAACTGGGATGAGGAGATATCTCATTGTGGTGTTGGTTTGCATTTCCCTGATGATTAATGGTTTTGGGCATTTTTCTATATACCCATTGGCCATTTGTATGTCTTCATTTGTTCTGCATATATTCTGGTTGTTAATCTCTTCTCTGATGGATAGTTTGTGCATATTTTCTCCCATTGCTTGAGTTTTCTCCTTTGTTTCCTTTGCTGTGCAGAAGCTTTTTTTTTAGCTTGATGTGATCCTATTTGCATAGTTTTTCTTTGGTTACCTATGATTTTGAAGTCTTATCTTAAAAAATCTTTGCCCAGACCAATGTCCTGTAGCATTTTCTTCTAGTAGTTTCATAGTCTGCGGTCTTAAATTTGAATCTTTAATCCATTTTGAGTTGATTTATGTAAATGGTGAAGGATGGGGACTTAGCTTCATTCTTCTGCATATGGATATCTGGAGTGCAGTGGTGTGATCTCAGAGCACTGCAACCTCTGCCTCCCAGGTTCAAGTGATTCTCCTGCATCAGCCTCCCGAGTAGCTGGGACTACAGGTGTGCGCCGTAACACCGGGCTGATTTTGTATTTTTAGTAGAGATGGAGTTTCACCGTTTTGGCCAGGCTGATCTCAAACTCCTGACCTCAGGTGATCCACCTGCCTTGGCTTCCCAAAGTGCTGGGATTACAGGCATGAGCCACCACGCCTGGCCTCTAGCACCATTTATTAAAGAGACTTTCCTTTCCCCATGTCTGTTCCTGGTCCCTGACAATCAGCTTTCTGAGCTTTAGCTTCCTCATTTCTAAAATGGGAAGTACAATGGCTACTACTTTTGGGGGTTGTTCTGAAGATTAAATGCATTAGGTATATATATGTGAAGGGTTTAGTACGAGGGACCTACCTGTGAAGCAGGCAATGAAAATTGAGTCTATTATGCAGTGTATGTGAAACTTGTGAATTCTGGTATGCAAGAAATAAAAACTGGCTTGTTTTCTACAACTTCATCTAATTTGCAGCTCAGAACCCCCATCCTAACCCCTCATTTCTTGAGGCTGGCAGTACTTCACAGTCTGCTCAGATCTTGGCCCTGCCAGTTACTAGCTGGGCTACCTCATGCCAGTTATTCTGCTTTCCTCTTTCAGTGTCCTCTTCTGTAAGTTGAACTGGTTATTATAGCATAAAGTCTGACACTATGGGCTCTGAAGCTGAAACAGACCCAATAGTCCCATAGACAGTTTTTCGGATAAAACCTAGAAATTGAACCTCTCATCTTAAAACTTGAAACTTATATTTCTCTGAGTTCATTCCTTAGGAAATGACCTTAAGGCCATTCAAAAAAAGTATCAAAGAATTGAAACTCGCCAGATCACCGCATCCAGACAGTGAGATGCCAGACCTTTCATTCATCATGATTGCTTCCTGGCCCCTCCCTAGTTCCTATTTTCTTACACATTGTTACATTTCTTCCCGGCTGTGTAAATCCCTAGTTTTAGTTGGTCAGGAAGATGGATTTGAGACAGAGCTCCCATCTCCTCAGCTGCAACGCCCGATGAAAGCCTTCTTCCCTGGCAAGAATTGTCTGTCACTGGCTTCCTGCGCAGCAAACAGCAGGACCTAGCCTGAACCCTGGTGTTTCGGTAACAAAACCAGGAGTCTGTTTTTGCATCCTGGTTCATCTACCTCAGAGCTGTGTGACCTTGGAGGAATTCCTGTACTAATTTATTTTCCTCATCTGTAAAGTGGGAATAGAACTACCTAAAGTGTTTGTGAGGATTAAGCCTCCTTGAACTGTGCCTAACACATAGTGAACATTCAATCAATGTTAAATATAGATAGTCTTATTTTTCAGGGAAATATGAAGAAATTAGTGTTTATGATTCCATTATCTAGAGGCATCCACTGTTAACATTTTAGTGTGTTTTATTAGTATTTTTATATGTAACTTTTCAAAGTACAGTACTCTATTAGACACCTGGTTATTCTTTTTCTTACATCACAGCCATTTCCTCCATGTCACTGGTTTTTAGAAACCTTTATTAGCAGCACTGTATTCTGTCATATGATGAAATTTATTTTTTCTTCCTCTATCGTGTACTTACATGGGGTCTAAGTTGTTTTATGACAGTTACCTTTGTAATAAATGGCTTTAAGAAGACATTTCTGGACATTCTTTGGTTACTTCCTTTGGCTAGAGTCCTACCTTCGTAAACACTAGGTCCTGTAGCATGATTGCTTTTAAGTCTTTTTACAAATATATTGCCAAATTGTGCTCTAGAAATACTGCACCAAACCTATGTTCTTAGCAGCTGGATTTAACGGTGCCCATTTCACCACGGCTTCACCAACATTGAGTGTTCTTTTAATTTACCCGCTGGCTTTTGTAAATACCCTACTCTTACCTGTAGCCCAGTGAGGTCCAATAGGATTTTTGCAGTGATGGAAATGTCCAGTATTAGCACTGGTCAATGTGGTAGCTACTAGTTACATGGGGCTATACAGTCCTTGAAATGCAGCTAGTGAAACCAAGGAAGTGAATTTCTAACTTAATTTAAATAGCAACATACAGCTACTGGCTGCTGTATTGGACATTTCATCTCTGAACTCTCTTTACGATGAACACAGAGTGCATGATTGT